TTCTTTTCGAACAACATCCAAGACTGAATCGACTAATTCAGCACCTTCTGTATAATGACCTTTTGCCCAATTGTTACCAGCACCAGATTGACCTATTTAGAAATAAAAAAAAATATAATGAGAAAATAATTAGATGTGACACGAATATTCTAAGTTGTCTTCCAACGTAATATTCACGTACCGAAGACAAAATTATCAGGTCGAAAGAGTTGACCAAATGGGCCACTACGAACTGAATCCATTGTGCCTGGTTCAAGATCAACAAGAACAGCACGAGGAACATATTTGCCACCTAAAACAAAATAAGCATTTAAAAACAATAATCATTTTTGAGATAATATATTTACCAGCTGCTTCATTGTAATAGACGTTGATACGTTCAAGTTGAAGATCAGAATCACCATGATATGTACCAGTTGGATCAATTCCATGTTCGTCCGAAATAACTTCCCAAAACTAGAATAATAGGATAATGATGATTCATTCGTCCAATGAATACTGTAGAAAAGAAAATAGTGTGGGTTTTTTCCTCTTCAACTTATTTTGTTGTCTGTGCATAGACGTCGTGAAATACTGGCTAGATGTCATAGTGTCTTTTTATAAATCTAATTGATAAGTATTCTAGTAGGAAAGTCTGTTAACGTTTTAGGCAAAATAAAATGTTGAGAAATAGTGGAAATGCTATTTAAGTTATTCAGTATAAACCTAACTACAATACAAGAGCTTTATCAAAAACTATTTGCATACTTTAGAACCAATTTGGTTACCGCATTGACCAGCTTGGATATGGACTATTTCACGCATTTTGAAGTAGATGTTTTCTATGTAAGATGAATCGAAAGTGCGAGAGACGTCGATCTGCAACAACTGACAAAATGTTATGATTCTCGACGGACGACGAGATAATATAAAAAAAACCGAGAGAGAAAGAGAGAGCGAGAGAAAGTGAAAGAACAGCAGCCTACGAACGTCGGTCTCTTTTTTTTCTCTTTTTTTCGCTCTCGCTCACCCTCTTCCTAGTTCGACAGAAAAGATGGACGGACGGCATAGTCGCTTTGCTTAAACACTGACACATACGCATATAAAGCCTAAAGGAGGAGGACGACGCATATCAACGAATGAATCATCCTTCTATTCAATCCACAAGAGCTTCATCCAACGAAAAAAAAAGAAGAGAAAGAGAATAATATGATATGAGAAAACGATGAGAATAAAGAAATTAGAAGATGCACATATCGTGTGACGGACTACATGTCTCGTATGTCGTGCCATGGGGATGTAGCTGGGTTTTTTTTCTTGTTTTTTGAAGCCATCTTATTCGTCAGATCACTATGAAAGGGGTAAATAAAAAAGCGACAAGAAAATGAGACGAGTAAGATAGCTTTTCTTTTTACACACGGGAAATCAACATGTTTGTAACCATAACAATGATTACATTTATTCAAAAAAAAAAAGAAATGGAATATCGTTTAGATATTTACATCAGTATTTCGTTAAAAAGATTGGCATGTAAATATTTAATGCAAAGAAAATTCTTTTTTTTTCATACGATACTTCTTTACAATATTATAAATAAGAACATCATCAAGAATATTGTGTAAAACAATTTGTGAAATGTAGAAAAACTTTTCAAGCTTAATTTGAAAAAAGTAAAGCAATAATATTAATAGACTCATCAATAAAATTATTTTCAAACTTTTTATGAGGAATGCATATCGAGTTGTTTTTTGGTTAAAAAAATATGTTGTAATAACACTGTGAGTGATTCCGAAGAAATGTTTTTTTCCGAATGTTATTGAAGATTTTGTTATGAAAGAGAATAATGTTTTGATTCTTGGAAACTGTAATAAAGTAATTGTTTTTTTTTTAAAGTCACGTTCATTAGGTTATGCGTGACATCCATTTGTTTGATTTCTGAAATGCGTGCTCGTTCGTTTCTTGGTTACTTTCAAAATGAAATTAATAATCAAGAAAAAAAAGTCCATTTGCACAACTGAATATATTACATTGGTTATATTTTCCTTATGCTTTGAAAAAAACAAAAAATAGAAAAAAAAACTTCATTTTGATAGATATTATGAATTTGTGTTCGATGCTTCTGAAAGGGTTCGTGTCGTTAAGTCCTTCTTCTTAAGTTATGCTCATTTTATCGAGATTTCAATCTATTGCAGCATATCATGAAAAAAAATCGCAACAAGGAATTTCTGCCCTGAAATTTTCCACAAAAATAGTTCTCATAACCCTCATGATATTGCAGAAGTCGAAACTCAAATGCATATTCCTCTTTTGAGATAACACGTTTGCAAAAAAAATGACTTTGATACAAGAACTCCAAAACTAATGTCCATGTCAAAAACGAAAAGTGTGAGTATTTTTTGAATAAGTTTTGATAGAAACTAGGTAGAAAAATGCGATTTTCATCGTTTAAAAGAGGAGATGAAACTGCATCGAATAGTCTGTATCAAAGTTTTCTGACAAATTTTCTTAGAGTTTCTCACCAATTTTTCAAAAAATCTAGGCTTTTGAATAAGTTTATAACATGGATTTTTTTCGTTGAAAAATGAGAAAAAAAGTAAATTTTCTATGAAAAATCTGCCGATAACATGCAGTAGAATGTGCATAATTCATGATTGGCTAAAAAACTTATAACATAGGACTTACAGATTTTATAAATCTTCAGTTAACGATGCTAGTGCACTTCTGAAAATTGAGATCGTAAAGCTTTTACGTTAGGCAATCTTTGGTGTTTAACAAACGTGATGATAGACTCTGAGAAAACTTCTTCAAGAAACTCTGATATAGACTATTTGACGCAGTTTCATCTCCTCTTTTAAACGGTGAAAATCGCATTTATCTACCTAGTTTCTATCAAAAGTTATTCAAAAAATACTCACACTTTTTCTCGTTTCAAATGGGTATTAGTCCAGTTTTTAAGCATACAATGTTTGAAGAAGAAACTCCGTTTGAGCTGTACCTTTCAAGTTATTGTAAAGACCATGAGAGGTACTGATAGGGAGAATTTTAGGAAGAAAATTCCTTGTTACGATTTTTCTCGTGATATACTATAATAAACTGAACGTCCAGTAAAATGATCATAACTCCAGAAGACGGTCCTAAAGGCATGAACCATGTTAGAGTTTTCCTGTATGCTATGAGTCTTACCTATGAGCAAAACGAGATCAAATCGAGGATTTCAGGCAGATGATTACCCTAGTGAGTATTTTTGCATTATTTGTAGAAAGATATGAACGAAAATCACATTTTATTGTTTTTGCATCATATATATAATCCAATTTTCTCTTGTTATTTTGATGAAAAATTGCATATGAAAACTTCAATGATAGAATTGTGGTTATGTTTCGAATCGATCTAATAAAACTTAAACAACTGAATCAACATAATCAAAACATTGATGATTAATTGACGCTAATCGTCTGATAGTTATTAGCTAGATAATGAACTTAAAAAAATAACTAAAACTATTAGAAAAAAGTAAATAGATAATCGATGATTACTTAGAAATTGATATAAAAGTTCATTTAGACTAAGAACTAGAATATTTAGAAAGAATCTATCTAGAGAATACAGTGATTATCAAAAGTGTCGCAATTAATTAAAAAGTAACTATATGTCAATCTTTTTTACGTGATATTTTTACCATAAATCAGACCCCAGTGAAATCTGATCACGTATGCACTAATCCGAGATTGATGGACGTTAGTATATCGGATTTAGAATGAAAACAATCCTTTTTTCATTGGACATCATAAAAGGCTTTTGTGGCACTTTTCTAGTCAACCATTATTTAAGAGCATTAGTGTTTATCTTAATTCTATTGACAAATAAAACTTCACATGTCTTGACACTGTCACAGCTAGAAGACTTTCAGGTACTATGATCCTGAAATGCTTCGCATAGATCATTACTCTAGTAATGACTTTAATAATGAAATTTTCATCGAATATTTGATTAGAGCAGAGAACACATCGTAGAAGACTTTAAGGCATACGCTTGAAAATAGTTGAAATTACAAGTTACTTTTTGACGAATTCTTTTGACTTTCGTGCTAAAAGTACTCAAAATTTACTTAAAAAAACAGGCGAAGTACGATGATTTGGCTTGAATTTTTATCAGTGGTAGAGGAAATATTAACGAGGGAAAGTCCCCAAGCGTGTCACTAGAGTTTCAATGAAAACTATGTGGGTTTGTCATGTCAAGTGTTGTGATCTCAAATATAGAAAAATTAGCGGTTGAAACTATTTTGATAAAAAAAAAAGTTATAATCAAAACATTTTTTGACTAAGACTCTGAGGGCGACTCCAGGTGATTTTTTTGACAAAAAAAAAACGTTTACAAAAAAATTACAAAATCCACGGTTCGATCCAGAATTTAGTGCTGGTTTCATATAGGTTATTACTTTTGTCTCGTAATATATTTTTCTGACCACAATATCCTGAACAAAAGCCAAAAAGATACAAAATTATGTTTTCAGGATAATCTTTTAGGAAGTTCTTAGGTGACCAGTATTTTTCGAATTGGAAAATATACGATTGTAGAGTGTTTCAGAAGTACTATCGATTGGTATAGACACGTTCACATGAACTGAACTATGTTGTTCTTGATTGATTGACAAGTCAACTAGCAGAACAGAATTTTCAGTCAATCAACTACATATCGCCTATGATATGACAAGTAGAAAACACCACTAAATTGTTTTTGACAATGAAAATCTTTCGAAAAAAAAACATGCGATCGTATAGTCATAGATCCATTAGACATTGATATTAGTTCTAGAAACAATGTTTTTAAAAAAAATTCCTTCATTCACAATCAGCTAATAGCAATAAATTTTTTTAGTTATTATGAAATATAGCTGGTATTCATGTGTGTATTTATTAATCGATTCTAGCCATATTGAGATGATGCAAAATGTGTTTTTTTCTTGTGATAAAGATCTTTGTTCTGTGTCAACGTTCAAAGACTGTCCTTTTCTTTGGTTTAGTAATTATGATCGTGTACTTTGTTTGCATCATATTTTTTTTTGTAATCGATTATAAAGATCAGTAAAACATCCTTCTAATCATCTACAGAAAATAAATCAATCTGCATATCCATTTAAGTTAAGGATCCTCACCTCTAAAAAGTCACTTTCCGTCAAACTGATCATAATTAAGATAAATGCATGGGGATATAGTCTGTGATCTGATCTCTCGTAAACGACAAAAAATTTTTACTCAGTAGTTTTTGAAAAAAAGCCGAACATCGTTTTCGCTTTTTCTTACTTCATGATATGTCGAACGTGAAAACTAAATTTCTCAGTTTAGGTTCATGTGATGCATTTAAATTTTTTGTTGACAAGAGCACGTCAAGATGCAGGACACTACAGAGTCCTTTTTTAAAATAAGCGTTTTTTATTATAATATAAGAAAACATCTCGATAGAAATAGCGTCATTTTTTTAGAGGTTTTCTAAGTCACTGAACTTGTGATCTCTTCTTTTCGTCTAAAAAGTAAGAATTTCAAAAAAAAAGCACTTTATGATGCTCTGCATGTTGACATGCTCTTGCAAATAAATAGAAAATCGAATATATAAAATGAACCTGGAAAGACAAGTTTGGGTTACCAAATGAGCTATTTTTTATCCCCTGATTATCTCTTCTGGGTTTTTAGAGTTTTTGTTGAAGTATTTTATAATTCATGTTCTTGGAATTACTTTTGTAGTTCATCTACACCATTCAATATATTCAATTTGATTGAATCAAAAAACAGATTTAAATCAACATTCCTAGGTAATTTCTTTTGCTTAAAAAAAAAAATTTTAATTTGATTTCATGTTCACTAATTAGACTTAATGAGTGTTAATATATTTTAAACCAGTTATTTCAAAGTGCAAAATTACTCAACGAAAAAAAAAGCAAACACTTTTTCATTATTGTTTTATGTGTGAATACAGAACATTGAAGAAAGACAAAGTTACCAAACCACACATTTTTTTCACTCGACTATTTCCTTGAACTAGTTTACAGTTAAATACTCGATGAAACTCATCGAAATTTGATGTAGGATCAAGTATTCTAAAATAGAATTAAGTAATAACATCTTTGAAAAAATAAGTAACCGACGACGCGAAAGTTGTGGTTCGAAATCTTCGCTCATTTTTTAAAAACTTCAAAGTAACTGTAAAGAAACCAAAGCAGTTGGCTAAGATCAGAATTGCATCTTCTTTCAGAATATATGCATAAAAGTTTTTTTTTTTTAATGTAAGATCGGTTGATTATGAGAGAGTTTCCTAAAGGGTCAAAAAAGACCCCTGTAAAAAACCAAATACAAAGCATTTGCACAACACATAGTTTATGCAATGCGTATTGTTAACCAGATTTAACACAACATAATTTTAGAGCGCTCGATTCTCTATGCAATGGTCTGTCTGTATGACTAAAACCTCAAATCGCTCAAATGCGAATAGTAGATATTATAGAGCAAAGTTAGCATTAAAATATTAAATTCTTACAAATTATTTCATATTTTGTTTCAAGTAGGTTTTCATTGAAATGCAAAATTGGTCAATGTAAAATTCTGTACAAATATCATTTTGGTACCTCGAAGAAGTGTTCTCATAGTTGACTAAGTTAACATCCACGGAAAACTCTGCGCAAATACTTCGAGAAAGGACAAAATTCTGATTGTACCTAACTACTTTTGTCTCTCTACAGTTATTTCTGAGTGCTTGAAAAATGAGCTATGATGTTCTAGCAAAGCTTTTGCGCAATAGATTATAAACATAAGAATCATCTAAAGAGTCCAAGTGAATGAACATCCGTTAAAATTGAATTGGCTGCATGTAAATCGGCCATTTTTATACACCAAGTATGAGCAAAGTTGATGAAAAACAGTTGTTCAGGCGAATATTTTGTTAGATCTGGTAATTTTTTTGTCAACGTTTACATTATTTTTAGCCCAGTTTTTATATGCCTATCAACAAGCAAAGTAAAAACGAATAAGAATCTGTCCATTAAACTATATTAAATTTGTTTACAAATGATAACGAGTTTTATTTTTAAACGAATTAATCTACTTACATAAAAAGCAGCTTTAAGTCCACCATTATCAGCAATATCTTCACCTTGTGTTTGATTACCGTTAGTCTATATGTAAAAAAATAATCATAAGCATAGAAAACGATGAATTTAAAACGATAACAACATTCATATGAATTTGTGGCACAGTAAAGTTACTATACTGTTCAATAACACATTGTTTGATTAATCCAGCAAGGAATTCGCTCTCCATTTTTATCAAATTGACGACCCGTATCATAAAATCCATGTATTATTTCATGTCCAATAGCCATTGCAATACCTTAATTAATTATTTCTATTTATTCTGTCAATATTCACTAAGGCATACCAGGTGTAGAAACGGGCCACCCGGCCTGATAGCTCGACCCGACTCAAGAAGATTTGTATTCCGGGCCGGGCATGTCTCATCAGCGAAGACCGGTGGATCGGGTAAGCTTAAAATTCTACCGTGCCGCTCGGCCTGAACCTTATTTCTTTTTGCAAGAGAAATTTGCCACTCAAGGGAAACGAAAAGACTGATTCTAATCGACTTCTTCCTAGCTAAAAATCGATTAAGATGGGACTATCATCATTTGATCAAAATTCGAATATTTAAATTTTCATTGATTCAAAATTGTGATGATCGTAAAATGGGTTTTTTTTCGGGTTTCAAGTTAGAAACTCAAACTTTTGTTTTTTTTTTGGAACTCCTTACCTTAGCAAATCGTGATTATCACACTAGCCTAAACTTTGATACATATACCAGGCGTTGAGATGGATATCAATTAATACTGACTCATGCAAGAAAAAATTTCGATAAATTAGATTAGAATTAATTCTTTTACGAACAAGTATCAATTAAAATGATACTATTTGAATCCAATCAAAATCTGACTGGTCAGCTTTAAGGATAGATTTCATTTGATTTTAATCATTCCTCATCAGTTTCTAAAAGACAATTTTAGTCAATAAGACTTTATTATTCGATTAAAAATCGATTTAAAATAATAAAATCAATTGAAATCTGTTTTTCAAGTTGAAAAATTGAATTTCAGTAAAAATTAAATAGCATCATTTTAATCGAGTTTTAACAAAAAAATAATCGATATATTCAAGTTTTTCGTCAAAATTTTCTACATGGGTTGTACATCTCGGAATTTTTAACAATCAGAAAGCTTTATCATGCGACCACTTTGGAAATTTCATTTAGGCAATAAATGAAAACAAAGCATTTATTCAGTATGATAGCACTTCTCATTCACACAGAAAGCGGAGTGAACTGTTAGTTGCATTAAGCCACACGAATATTATTGAAGTGGAATAGTTTTAACTGTATACTGAAATTAGAAGGGAAAGTAGAAATATTAATCGATGTGACTCTTTGGAATTGATCGGTTGCATTTCACTTCTGCGAGGTTCGTGCTAATAAATGATAGTATTTCAGAAGTTGAAGCACCGACGAACTCATCTTACGCTATTGATTCAGTAAGTAATTCGACTTATCTCCCAGGCTTTTTTTAAGCTTTACAATTGTCTAATCTTATTCAACTCGTGATCACCATGATAATTAATAAACTTTTTACAATGATTTGATAAATTATTCCAGTGTAGGAATGATCAATTCTGCATTTACGAAAACTTAATAAGTCCAAAAATAAATTTATTTTAAATTTAACTTATTGAAATTCATATAAAAAAGTTAAATTTAAAATTAATTTAACCTTTCAAAGTTTAAATCTATTCTTCATTTAAAATTCAAGAAATTTAAAATTAAAGTAAATTAAGAAGAAATAGCCATCCCGAACTTCAGTGACCGTTGAGTTCCGTCATCTAAAAGTATTTTTTTTTGTAAAAGAAATATAATTATAATAGTGCCATTGTTATTCGTGCCGGGCCATCAAAAGTGGCCCCATTTCGAGGTCTGCTAGGAACTGATTTGAGCAACAGACCTATTGAGTCGATTATTTCAAAACAACTGAAACTAAGAAAAATTGCTGCCTTATGGGTGCCCGTCTTGGCGACTAATTACCAATAAGTTGAACAAGCCCGATTTTGTTCAGAATATTCGGCTAAAATCCAGCAAAGAAAATGGCAGTTATGAAGGTTAGTGATAGTTGACAAGTCATCTGTTTATAATTGGCATATTATTCAAAGATTTTCGAATGCTGCTTGTAGACCAAGCGGAGAAGCTCCGTATAGTCTGGTGTGACTCAATCTTTCTGCATTTTTTTTTCGATACGATTGCTTCAGTGCTCATACACCATATCGAACAAGAATAAACCATCAATCATTAATAATACAATTTGCAATCGTTACATCTTGCCGTAACCAAGATTAGGAATTCGATCGACATAGAGGACTACAAACAGAAGAATCTCGTTATGTTTGACATGTTTCAAGTATTTTCTACTGTTAACTTTATGTTTCATGGCTGTTCAACTTTTTCCTATTTGATTTAGATTTAAACCGTTAGTTGATTGATCATTTATTGGAGATATATTATTGCTTATAAGATTTCTTTATTAATATAACTAGTGCATGCGAGAAGTATTATCTAATTCTGATAGTGTAGATATAAATTAATAACGCTTTTGTTTAATATTAAAGGCATTCCGTCGAGTACTTATTCTTCGATGCTCAGCTGCATTTCTTTGTTGTAATTTATTGGTATTATGAGTACAGCATGCTTATAACAATCATTGTTCTATGCTTGAGATTACTTGTTTATCTCATGAATATGCTGATTAATTTAGTATACAAAAGGAAACAAACTGATTTCTATCACTTGAAACTAATTTTTATCTGTTCACTGAGAATCAATAGGAATCATTGGAAATGCTTAGAAATCAAGAAAATCAATAATAATCATTAGACAGCAGATATTTATTTTTAATCTTATTTCTCGAGGCCTTCTATGATTTAGAGTGATTTTTAATGATTTCTAATCATCTCCGATAATTTTTAAACACTGGCAGTTATGATTCGTATCTTTAAAGTGTTTTAGGATTTCTGATGATTTCTAGTAAAGAAATCAGTTTGCTTTTCGTTGGTAATATGAATATACATAACAGTCTTTTAAAAACAAAAATGGGTATATTAATGAAATTTAAAAACCGAAATCATTTGAATTTTTGTATTCGATAAGAGTTTATTTCAATTTTGCAAGTTTTTTAATAAATTCGTAATTCTCTTACAACATGAAGTTTATTGAGTGTTTTGCGTTCTTGAGAAATGTAAACTTTAAAAAAATTCTTTCATATAATTTATTATTGAAACAAAAAAAGAAAAACAAAATTTAAGCTTCATATTCACATGGCGAAATAGGATTATTATCACCTTCATCTTCTTCTTCGTCTTCTTCTTGTTGATTATGAATCTGAATTTGTACATCATTATTATCATTATCAGAATTTTCGGATGACGAATTATTTGAATTTGATGATGAAGACGATGATGATGATGATGATGATGATGATGATGATGTTTGATAATAAAATAATTCTCCGGCACGTGCAAATCTTGTCGATAAAGGTTCATCTTCGTTTTCTAAATCATCAATATCGAAATATAATTTCGTTGAATTTATATTATCAATTGTTGGTAATTGTCTCGAAGGACTTGGCACTAATGGTAATTGTCGTATTGGCATTGGTAAAGATGGTAATTGTCGAGAATTGACATTGCCTTGTGGTCGAGGTTGAGCTGTATTGATTAACGGTGAAGAAGTTTTAGCAGGTACTGCTCGATTTGATGATATTATTGTTCTGCAAACAAGAAAAAATTGAATTAATTTGATCATAATAGGGAAAAAAATTACTCACTTTGTTTTGACTGGCCAGTTTTCATTTAATCCAAAACCATCATCAGTTGACGTATGTGAATCAATTGAATCCTGGCGACTACTTGTATCATTTCCACTGCTACCCAATAATGGTTGATGTTGTTCAGGTGATTGATCTGGAACTCCTAAATTAATAATTAATATTGAATAACGAAATATATATATATATATATTTCTGTCAGATCTAGGTGAGTCCGAGTCATTTATTCAAACAATCAAAAGTTGATAATTCAATAGCGAAGTCTATTTCAGAAGTTGTATTTTAACATCTTTAAAGTTTAATAAGGAATTAATTTAAATAGTATAATAAATAAGTTTTGCTTATCCACAGATTTAAGTTTAAACTTTTCGTTTATAAAAAAGAAAAAATGATGTTATTTTTTTACTGTCGTATGGAACTATGTAAAAGAGAAGGATGATTTTAACTATTCTTATTTTGTTAATGAATCTAGCATTATTCTATCATTTTATTTTATGTAGGATTTTTGTTTTCGGATATAAAAACTAGAAACTAGATATCATGTAATGAAACAGCTTTTCTTTTCATACTTGTAGATGAAAAAAATAATGCTGCCCGTGGTCGATTGTTAATAAATTTTTTTGTTGATATTTTTTCTGTTGCTTTCTCACAAATATTTTGATGATCAGTATTTGATGGTGCTGTTGATTGTTTAGTTGATGTTATACGTGATGTCATTTGACCATTTAAAGGTAAACGACGTCCATTAGGTACAATGATTGTTTGTGGTTGTTGTTGATTATTGTCCGTTGTAACAAGTAATAATGGTCGAGTTTCAGTTGGTGATAAAGCAATTGATGTTGAAGGATTTTTCACAGCAATCATTGATGATTTGGGTGTTGTCATTATTGCCGGTCGAGGTGGATTTAATGGTGCTGGTGATGTAACCATTGGTAAAGCATGAAGAACATTATTAAGATCTGGTACATTTAATGTTTTACCATAATGATGTTGACTGTGAAAACTATCTGTAACGTGTGAACTTCTTCGTTTTGTTTCATCAAGATTTAATAAATTTGGAGGTTTGAAATTAATATATCCATTTTCTATTGCATTACTTGGTCGACGACTTGTAGAAACTTTATTTTTACCCAAAAACATATTTTCAAAATTCTGAACGAAAGAAAAAAAAAAGAAAATATTTTTATTATTGATTTTTGGAAGAAAATTCAATGCAATCAAGTGATTATTATTTAAAATAAATCTTGGTGTTTATTACTGGGAAATTGAATATTTCGAGAAACATATATTTGTTTTCATTAAAACTTTTAAGACTTTATAATAACTAGTCTTACCTCAAGATATTCTATTACATGAGGTATAAGCTGAACATCTCAGGCACTTCTCTCGTCAGTAGGAACCTCAAGCTATGAATTGTCAAAATAATTAAACACTTATCAAGTTCTAACACTGACGAAAAAGATTTAGGGTTCTATTCTATTTAATCTTAATTCTTTGTTCCTCTCGCTGTCTGTTGGAAGACTAGATTAGCAATTTAATATGGCAAAGCAGATTTTTGAAAAGTTTTGTTTTTACCCATCTTTACTCTAGATAAAATACTCAGATTAGTATTTTTTTTTCCTCAAATTTGTCTACATAAATAATCCTTGAAAAAAAGTACACATCTATAAATTTTTACAATAATCTTATTATTTATTTTTTGCTAAAAAATAAGATTTTCATTGAGTTCAATAAGAGAACGTAATTAATTTTTACCGATGATCGATTTCCTCCTGTTCGACGAAAACTTCCCGATCGACGAAATGATGATCGTCTTCCATCAAAATCATTTTCATTAATACCTTCTTTTGAATGAACACGTTCTTTAAGTGCTGATACAAGTCGATTCAAATTGAAACCCTATTAATATAAATAAGATAAACATAAATTATTTCATATGTGTATTAATAATTAATAAAAAAATCATCATATTAAGAAGAAGAAGAAGAAGAAGAAGACGAAAGGGGTTGAATGATACGATTTAAACATGACTTAATTATAAGGGAATAGTAATAGGATGAAAGGGAAATAAATAAAAAAAAAAAGAAAAAGAGGAGAACGAAGATAGTCATGCTTAAGAAATTTCTCGTAATAAGAAAAATAAAATAAAATAAAATCAAAAAGAGAATCAAACACATGACATAGGTTTTTTTTTAATCGAAAGATATATATTTTTCTTTCTATCGATTTAAAATTAAAATAAAATAAAAAATGTTGATATTCTGCATTCATGCATCCATGCATAACTGACCTCATCATCAGTTGACAGTAATACAATACTACTGCTGCTTTCGCTCGTTATCTATACATATACATATATACGTTGAGAATATGAACGATTAATGTTTTTTTTTGTTTTTCTTTGTTTTTTCGATATATTCACAAAGCGCAAATTAAAGTAGATACAGTATAATTTTTTATTTTAACTTACAGTATCATTGGTATGTCCTTGTTTATACGAACGATAATTATCAATGTATAAACATATTGCATAAACTTTACCAACAGTCAATTTAGGATAACCTGGTATACCATGTAGTTCTAATTAAAAAAATATATTTTTTTTTTTTTTTTTAATTTTCGTTTTCTTTTATTTTTTACCATGTTTAGGTGGTACGACTAGATCAAGTAATGGTCTTGTACCACCTTCATGTAATTTAATATTCTTTTTTGCATGATTAGGCCAAACTTTACATAAAACTTCACGTAATTCATTATCAGCTTCATCCATTTCTTCAGCAGCTAAATGAAAATAATTATGTTTGATTAAATATTATTATCACCAAAGAACAAAAAAAAACATATTAATAGATTTACCAGTACGCATTTTAATTCCAAGTGATTCACGAATCAATGCAAAGAGTGTAGTCGTAAAATGAACTTGACGTTTTTCATCAATAGGCATATTCATACGAATTAAACGCTAAATATTGAAATGAAATTTTAGATATTTTTTTTTGATTATGCAATGAGAAAGAGTGAAAAATTTAAGATATGGTTTCAATAGAACATAATAAAATCATGGCTTAGGATATAGATTAAGCATCTCATTATAAATATACACAATTTTCGTTAGAATTATCAAAATTAAAATAAATGTATGGAGAGAGAGTTCGACACTTGACCTTTCATAATCGACATGACATTTTAATCGGTATCTTCTTTTCTCCGAAAAAAATTTTGATGATTTCTGTCATATGCTGTTTTTACAAAAAAGAGCAAGAAATTATTATCATGTTTCTCTCTTTATCTTTATCTGATCGCGCATCTCAGAATTCTGGAAGAAGCTTCATTATAGTCGATTGTTGATTTTGTTTGAAAAAAGCATGTCTAGATGCAGGACATATTGTAGTCCTTATTTTTTGACTTGAAATTTGTTACTTTTATAATTAGAGCTCTGTTTTTCAAGACATTGAACTTTTCTTCGCTTGAAAAGTAAGAATAAAAAGACCTCTGATATGCCGTGCATCTAGTCATGTTCTTTTTAAAACCAAAAAAAGCAAGAAGTATATAGAAAGAATATCTCCAGAGAATTTTAGATTACTAAATAAGCTATTTTTTTATCCTTACTGATTTAATATCTTCCGAAAACATCATGCTATGGGAATAAAAATGTTTACCATAGTCTTTCTAATACAGCGTCTACATAATGTAAAAATCTCATGTGATTTGAATGTACTTAGCACAAGATTGATTTTTGACGAATCTGAGATCTCAATGAATGACGTAAGTACTATAACTATCGATTTATTTTAGACACATTTTTGAAGAACAAACAAATTTGACCTTGGCTTCATTTAATATATAAATATTTACATACTTTATATGCTAATTTTGATGGACATTTAGTCCCAAATCCAACAGGTGGTGACATAAGTCGAAGCATTTCAAACATTTTTGTATATTCTAATTTTCCTCTATTTTATATAAGAATTTAATTAAAAAAAAAAAAAGTCAAATTTTCAAAAGAACAAAACATACGTTCCATCTGGATCATATTCCGACCAAGCTCGAAGAAATTCATCTAAATGATGTGCTCCTAATATAGACGAATCTCTTGTTAAATAATCAAAATTATCCATAATAACAGCAACAAATAAATTCAACATCTAAATAATAAATATTTATTTGAATCAATCATTGATTTTCATTTTAAACTAAATTTACTTACTAAAAATGATGAAAGAAAAACAAATGAACAAAAATAAAGATATGCAAAATCTGATCCACATTTATTTTGTGACGGATCACTTTTAGCATGTGTCGCTGTAAGACACATTGATGGAATTGTTGAACTAACATATGGTACTGTTGGATGATGATGTGGTCGATGATGAGTGTGTAGATGACATTCAACACCAGCTTTACAGGCTAGCATAACCGCTTGCCAACTTTCACCTGTTGCACATCTAAATATTATCCATAAATTTCAAAATAAAAAATAAAACAAAACAAAACAAGAATATTCCTAAAACAAAAAGAAGCAAAATAAGCGACAACAATCACAAATACCTGAACAAGAGCAGTAAAGCATAGAAAAAATTGGAAAAATTATTGTGTCGATTTATCTCGGATTGAGCCGAGTCATGACGAACATTTCCAAAAACCTTTAGATTTTGATATTTAAATAAAAAGAAATATTATATCACATGCAAACTTAATAAATAAAAAAAAAAAAACTGATGAAAAAAAGAAAAACTAAACTTGACCACTACTATCACATGACGAAAATTAAAAAAATAGAAAAAATAATAAATCATAAATAAATAAATAAATAAATTTTTCTAGTTCATTGTGTGAAAATATGAATATAAATAAATATGATCTAGAGATGTGATTCTCTTGCCTGAATAAGACGAGTGTAGCTTGAAAAATGTTCTGAAAATTATTGTGATTGTGTATTGCCGATCCGTGATCGACTTTTATATTACCAAACATCTGTAGCGTAAATCAAATTTTCGTTTTTTTTTACTCATTAGAAATAATATATTAAATCACTGAAAACTAATAACTTAAGAAAAAGATATCAAACATATTATACCTGCATGCCAATTATAGCATAAATAAAAAAGAGCATGGCAATTAATAGACAAACATAGGGAAGAGCCTATATACCAATAAAAAAAAACAATGATAAATATTTTTAATTTAAATTAAAACTGGTTTTTTTTTACTTTAAATGACTGCATAAATGTCCAAAGTAGAATACGAATTGTATAACCTTGACGAAGAAGTTTTATTAAACGAGCAGCACGAAATAAACGAAGAAAACCCAAATTAAGTAATGTATTCTACAAATAAAATATGAGATTTAATAAAGCTTAAAGCTTAGATTGACGTATCTAGATTTCTATATTATGTTAGAAAAGAAAATGTTTTACTATAGTTACTCTTGTAGCCGAAAATGTCTCGAGATCACTAAGATTGAACGGGATGATCCTAATTGGGGGGGATTGATTAGTGAGCAAAATAAAATCATAGAAAATCGTTGTTTCCGTAGGAAGAAACGGAAATCTTCCAAGATTGAAGGTTCACTTTCCGCTCAGGACATTCCTGCTTGTATCAGAGTGAAACGAAGCACAATTAAGACTACAATTATATATAATTTTTGAAATATATTATTTTACAGTTGACAAAATGGATTCTTCTTATATGATTGTCAAAGGCTATAAATACGAGTTCATATTCTGAATTAGCAGAAAATTCTACACCGAATAGTCTATTTAGTACTTTAAGCTGATTTTAGTCCAATTTTGACTTTACGAAAAATCTATATTTATGAATTTTTCTTATCATATCAAAAAAAAATTGATTTTCTTAACCTTTAGACGAGTGAAATCAAGAATGATATATTTCCATTTTTAAAGGCATTTTTGACTATTTTTTTAATCGAATCTTTACTACAAAAATATTGTCCTTCTATCTCTAATTTCACATTTTTCAGAGATAACTCAACATGCTCTATACAATTATGTTCTAATTCATACCTTATGTTTTTGTGGACCAGCTGCTAGAGCAACATTTGCTTTCGTTAACTAAAAGAAAAATAATTTCAAAAAAAAAATCTTCAAATGATTATTTTTATAATCATACTCGAAACTCAGTAACAAGTACATCAGCAATACTACCAAGTACTGTAATAAAATCAAATGCATTCCATTTATCACGAAAATAATTCTAAAATTGAATTTTTGAATAATATTTTTTTATTCAATAATTTATTATTATTAACATACTCTTAAACCAAATGCAATGATTTTAAGAATACTTTCCACAGTAAATAGAGCTGTAAACGTTGTATTGGCATATGTTAATATATCATTGTAAGTTGATGGACTTCGATAGTACTAAAACAAACAGCGAAGAGATAAAAAAAAATATTCGAAATATACTTCTATCTTGATTCTAAACACATTATTTAACTGGATTATAACTAACGAATGAATCTCAAGATATTAAAAGTCAATGATTATTTTATTAACAACGTGATATACTATCTCAAAAAAGAAAAAATACATAAGCTTTGTTGACATAACGATATAAAAATGCATAGAATATTCTTGTAGGCAGCGGAACATTTTGATTCTAGCGTAGATTTAATATTTTTTTTTGTATAAGATGCTCATCTGGAAGTTAAAAATGAAAGAAGACGAATCTTGAAATACATCTATCATAATATACGTATACTCAAGTTCATTGATATGCGAACACTGAAAAGAAATACTTAACAAAAAACAGATATTTTTCATTAATGAAAATGTTTAATAGATATGTGAAGTTAGTCGTCGAAGAGCGAAAGAAAATTTCAGCAGATTCTACTTAATCTGGCTGAAAGTTTTCGTACAGTTCTTCTTCTTCTTCACTTGTAGTGAAGAACTCCCACTTCAATGCATAATTCAATATTTACTTCTGTAAAATTCAATGTTTCCTTTAAAATGTTTTTTCAGTCTGCTTGATGGAAAAAATCTTATTATTAGTTGCCTGAGGCGGCAAAAAGTATTATTGTTAATCCAAAAAATATGATGCACTGCTCGAACCTCTTAATTTGATGGAAGAAAAAAAATGTTTGAGTTTATGAAACGTATATCTAGGGTATGTTCTTGCTTTTTCAAATCTTGTAGTACTACCATCTATGCTTATTGAACATGAATTGATAATAGATAATATGTAGATTGATCTTGTGACAATATGTCATTTGTCATAAGAGAAAAAGAATTAAACAATGATAGAAAATTTTTAGAATAATAAGAGCCTACCCAGACCTTATCGATTCATCGTCTATGAATATCTTATAAGTTAGAAATAACATATAATATTGTCTTTTAGAGTATTAAACTATTCCAAAACTTAGGAATATTCTAAACGTTCTACAGACGAAGTTTTCAATAATAACTTACTTTTGCCATAAGTACACAAGTGTTAAGTGCAATCATAACCATAATACAAAATTCAAAATATGATGATGTACATAATTGCCAAATACGATAACGTAATGAACTTTCTTGTTTTGGTTTACATCGTTGAATTGGTTTAGCATTCAATGCAAAATCAATACATGATTTCTAGAAGAACAAAAATAATTAAATTAAAATTAAAATTAAAATAAACATACTTGATTTTTATTAATTTCAGCTTCTTCTAATTCTTTTTGTCCTTGATCTTGAAATGTTATAATAATTAATGCAACGAATATATTAACGAAAAAAAATGGAAATACAATAAAATAAACAACATAAAAAACTGCAACTTCAAGCCGATGACCAGGTTGTGGACCACGATTAATACCAGTAGCATCAATTGAATGTTGTAAGACACTAGAGACAAACAAAACATTTTTTGTCTTTATTCAATTTTAAAATCAATCATAAAATACACTTACGTTGGCCATCCTTCACCTGTTTGAACGGTAAATAAAGTAAGAATAGCTTGTGGTACACTATCATATGTAAAATCATATGGTTCCCATATTCTTTTTCGACAATCTGGTTTACGTTTACCATTACCAAAATCAAAATAAAATCCTCTATTAAAAACAAAAAAAAAAAAAAAGAACAACAAAATATTGTAATTAAATAGCAAGTTTTTAGTTAATACGAACTGGCATTCTTCAGGTGTTACTTTTGATAAATCAGAACATCGATAAAATTTTCCTTTAAATAATTGTACAGCAATAACAGCAAAAATAAATTGAAACAGCATATAAACAATTCTATCATATTATTTTTTTTTTTGAATTAAATTTAAATAATATTAAAAATAAAAATAAAAACTTACAATATTGTTAAAACATTAGATAATGATGTAATAACACAATCAAATACAGCTTTTAATTTTGGTACACGATTTATTGTTTTTAATGGACGTAAGACACGAAGAACACGTAAAGATTTTATAGTATTTAAATTTTTTCCAGCTCCATTTTCCCTTTAAATAAAAAAAGAACAACAACAACAATATATCTCTTTCAATGTTCTCTTTTTTTTTTCTTTATTTATTAAATTTTCTTACGTAAAACCAAAAGCAACTAATGCACATATAACAACAAGTGCATCAAGTAAATTCCATACATCACGACAATATGCTCCTTCATGAAGTATAACACCCAAATCGACAATCTAAAATATTGTATACATTTTTAGAAATTCATTATTTAAGATCTAAGAAACTAACTTTGAGCAATAATTCAACAGTAAATACACCTGTAAATGCGTAATCAAGATAGTTAAGTATTCGATTACGACTAGAATTTTCATGTACAGGATCTTCAGCAGCTAATGATATTGAACTCAAACATATGACAATCATAATAAGTAGTTCAAAATAGCGAAGAGTAACGATAAAATGACAAAACCGACGAATCCTAAAAATAAAAATAAATAATACGATCAATTAAATATTCTTGTCACTTACGGATTCGTTGAACTAAAAATAAACATTGAACTATGTGGAATAATAGGTTTAACAACACGTGATGCTTGTTCTTTTCTCTTTGCATCTGCTTCTGCTGCAGCAGCTTCAGCTTTTTTTCTTGCTTCTTCATACGCACGAGCTTTTGCAGCTGCTGCTGATTCATCAAGACCTGGTAATTTATCTAACGATGCTATTAAAAGAAAAATAAATGAATTTTTGTTTTTGTTTTTGTTTTATTTCAAATAACAAATAATTTTTACTTGGAAGATAAACTGGACCAAGATCATAATCTAAACCAGGTATATAATCTAAATCAGCTTTTTCAAATAATTGTCTATCTAAAAAATCTGAATTCGCTTTTAAACTTGATGAATGATATTGTGATGATGGTTGAATATCAAAAGCTGTTTTAACCGCATGTTCAACATAGTCATTTTTTGTACTACAAAAGAAAAACAACAACAACAAGAAATACTTTTATAGATCACAAAAACTTTTTTTTTTGTTGGTATACGTTTGTTGAAGATTATTTCTTGGCATCAATGTATCTTGTTCTGGTTTTTTTGTTTTTACATTTGGTACTGGTGTTGGTGTTGCAGTTGTTGTTGTCACTGCATCTGATGTTGCTGAACCTAACTTAAACATAGATTCAACATCTTTGGTTTCACGTTCACGTTTCTAAATAATCCATATATATATATATTTAAGCTTATGCTCAAAGCTGTTTAAAAGAAGACGACGAAGAAAAAAAAAATTTAATCCTATTACTTCTTCTTCGGCTGCTTGTTCTTCTTCTTCATCTTTAGTTAATTCATGTGCATTAGCTAAATTGTCAACAGCAATAGCCAAAAAGACATTTAATAATGTATCTAATAATTTTAATGTCAATATAAATCAAAATAAAATTATATTCACAAAAATAACTTACAATTGCCAAATAGGACAAGAATAATAAAATAAAGTGAATAGATCATTCCTATACCATTGGCTCTATTTGTATCTTGAGATATAATTCCATTATACATAATTTCATTCCAATCTTCACCAGTTAAAATCTAAGACAAAGAAAAAAGAAAAATTTTTTAACAAGAAAAAAAAAAGAAGAAAACATTGATCTTTTACTTGAAAGACAGTGATTAGTGCTGTAGCAAATTTATTAAAATTTTGTAACGGAGTTCCATCTTCAAAACTAAATCTATTTGATGATAATGTAAAATGGAAACAAAATTAATTATAAAATTGTAACAAATAAATAAAAAAAGAAAAAAGGTTAACATACTCGCCACCAAATAATTGCATGCCCAATAATGCAAATATAAGAATAAATAAGAAGAGAAGAAATAGTAAACTGACAATGGAACGCATACTACTCAAAAGTGATACAACTAAATTTCGTAAAGATGCCCAATGTCTAAAAAAAAGAAAAACAGAAAAATTTTTGATATTATTTCAAATTTAAAGTATTTTATATGTTTATTAAAGAATTATTAGACATGATTATGAATAAATATTGATTTTTTTATTCTTATTCGAATGTATTTTCTTAGAGAAACATTAATGAGTGACTTATTGTATGTTAAGAAAATTCTTTGAACCATTTCCGGTAGGAATCTTTAAGATGACTGTGAGATTTTGTTGCTATTAAAAGGAACAACCGGAAACTTTTTAATGAGGTCTTCTCATGAATAAAGTAGCATATTATTACAAAGAATTTCTTTCTTGATATTTAGTTCCCTAACATATTCATTTAGGTTTTTGTAGAAAATATAAGAAATGTTACATGCAGACATGCACAATATGATCTAAAAAGCACAATGAATTAATCTATTCGTATTTGATTAAGCGATTTCGAAAAGAATGATTCACAAGTCGTTTTCGATTTTGATTGATAAAATACTACGAATATTCGACTTACTATAATTAGAATTAAAATAGATTGATTCCACTGATAGCTAAACTTACTGATCCCAGTGTAGTATTTTGTAGTGTATTATTAGTATCATAGTGTTCGAGATACTATGATTAAAATAGTTATTAACTATAACCAATATTTTAGTTCAGAACTCTGTAATCGGAAACTTTATTTCAGATTTTTCTTATACGTAATTAAACTAACTTATTCGATTTTTTATCATACTGACCTAGTCACTTTAAATATTCTTAAAAGACGTAAAGATCGAAGAACTGAAACACCAAAAGATTCTTCTGGATTAAAATGTGTCCAAATAACTTCAAATATTGAACCAAAAATAACCTTAAATGAAAAAAAAACAAAATTAATTAAATTATTTTAAAAAAAATAAAAACATACGACAAAATCAAATATATTAAATGATGATGCAAAATATCGATTAACGCCAAGACCATACATTTTAAAAAGCATTTCAAAAACGAATAAACCAAGAAAAATGAATTCAGCTATATCTATATATAAAAATAAAACTCTTGTAAAACATAGTTTTCTTTCTTTTTTTTCAAATAAAGTTATCATACATAAAAAATCCGTTAGAAATTGTTTTTGTCGATCATGTTCAACAGCAACACAAGCAGTATTCAAAAAAACCAATACAATTACAGTCCAATAAAATGCTTGAGTTTTAACTAATATACGAATTTTACTTCTAGATATTAGAATAAACATCATCATAGTATTTTTCATTCTTTTCGTTTAGATTTGTTTTACTTAATCACACGTTGTTGAATATGCCATCGACGCATGAAAGTTCGTGGTCGATCAGGTCGTTCAATATCTGCACCACGGCCACGATTAAATGCATTGTCTAGAAAATTTAATTTAAATGCAGTATACATCTATAATAATACATACCAATATCTTCTTCATCGTCGTCTACACTATGCTGTTTTCCTGTTCGATTATGTCGACTCTTTTTCAATTGTGCATATTTCCGAGCTAAATAATTTTTGAAACGACAAGTTTTCCTTTTTATTCTTCCGTTTCTTAAATAAATTTACCTTCGTGAATTGCACGTCTTTCTTGTTCAGTAGTTCGTTCTTCATTTAAAATTACATCCTCTATGCAAAAGAAAAATAAAAGAACATTGATTTATTTTTATTCTAAAAGATAAAATTATTTTTTTTTTCTGACCAGCTCGATTAATCCATTCAATATAATTATTATATTCACGTTCAATTTGTTGTTGACGACGAATTTTTAAAAAAGCTCGACGATTTTCTACACGTTCTCTTTCTTTTGCAAATTCACTATTAACCAAAAATAAATTAAAAAGGTTTTATACAATAAAAAATAAACCACCAAAAAACAATTTAATTTTTACCCGCTTAAAACACCAAGAACAAGATTAAGCATAAAAAATGAACCAAGAATAATTAATGGTACAAAATAAAGCCAATTAAATAAAGTTCCCACAGCGTCATTAGTCTTCAAAAAAAAAAAACTTATTCTTATATTCAAATAATTTTCTCTTTATACCCAATATAATATTTGTGTCCAACCCTCCATAGTTATACATTGAAAAACAGTTAACATAGCAAAACCAATATTATCAAAACTAGTTATGCCTTTATTAGGTCCTATCCAATATTCTCGACAAACAAGTGATTCATTTGGAATATTACATGTAAATACACCATGTTTTATATTTAACCAACCCCATATTGGTTCTAATTAAAAATAAATATTCTCGAAAACTATTTCTCTTCTGTATTAACTTCAATAAGTTACCTCCAGGTATTCCACATGTTGTTGACAGATGATCATCACCTTTATACATTACTAAAAGTTTAAAAATAAATAATATAAAACTTTTAAACAAAAGAAAAAAAAAAGAAATTTTAACTTACAATCTTCACTATCATTGTCAGGAGCTAAAGAAAAGACAAAGAAATAGCTTTATATAGATATATACATATATAAGAAAGATAATAACATAAATCTCTCGAGACTAAAATAAGAACTTATTAATTATTATCAATATCTGATAGAGGTTTTTGTCTGTCAATATAATGCTTAATTCAATTTTTATGAATCTTATTTTTTTTTTCATTTTAAACAAAAATAATTGAGATAAACAAAAGACAAAATTTTTCGAATAATCTTATATTCTAACCTGTTCGATTTGCATAAAAACAAGTTGTATGAAAGACGCCTGAATATAGTTCAAGGCCAATAATAGCAAAGATAATAATAGCAAAAAGAACGAGAAGAGCTATTTGAAACAATGGAGCCATTGCTTTTAATATAGATTTAAGCACCACTTGAAGACCTATAGAAATCTTATATAGATTTTTGCTTTTATATTATTGTAAACGAAACAAACTTGGAATGCCTGAGACAAGTTTAAGCGGTCGTAGTACACGTACGGCACGTAGTGTACGTAAATCGAATGAACTATCTTTTTTAATACTAATCGTTGCTAAACTAAAAATAAATAAAACAATCAAAAGAATAATTCGCTTTTATTTTGTATTTGTTTGTGTTATTTACCCCGTAACAACAACAACAAAATCCATAACATTCCAAAGACTTCGAAGATATGAACCTTCATGTAATACAAAACCAAGAGCAATTATTTTAAGTGCAGCTTCAAAACAAAAAATTCCAATAAAATAAATTTCAGTTTTTTCCTAAAAATAGAAAAAAACACTAATAATAATTTTTCATTTATTTCTAATTAATACGAACTAAGGATCTAGCTAATGTTGTTTTATCATCATGTGGTAAATGTTCTTCAAGTGCTAAAACAATACAATTAGCTATAATTGTTAATAGCACCATATATTCAAAAGGACTAAAAGAAATATGAAAAGAAATTTTTTTTTGATTCTAATTGGATTTATTAGTTTAAAAAACTCACTTCCAATCAATAACAGCATTAGCTCGTTTTCGTATCCAATTATTTTTTGAAAAAATAAATAATGAACGTTGATGGGATGAGTTAATTTGTTTAGCATAATATTTTATTTTTGCTTTCCATGCTCCAGTTCGTCCCGAATGAAGATTATGTGGATCACCGCCAGTTAATGCTGCCAAATTACCGCCTTCTTTCAAAGCCCTGATCATAGCAGATACATTATTGAAATCACCCATGTCTTTGGCTTTTAAATCTTCACAAGATTATCTAACTATTATATCTTTCTCGTTCAGAGAAACATGCGTCTTGAAATATAAGACCAGGGAGCAGTGTTCATAGTAAGAAGAAAAAAAAAAGAGACACAGACAAGAAGATAAAATGCTGTTGACACACGCACTGCTTTGCGCTCGGGCCGGCTGATGAGAAAAAGAAGAACACGTTCAACGATCTCTATTTTTTCTTCGTCTTTTCCTTCTGCTTCTTTTTTTTTTTCTATATGCCACGATGTTGGAAACACATAACGGAACAAGCCCGCCCTTTTCTTTTCTCGTTCTATTGATGTGATTCCCCCACAGACATGACTGAACACCAGAACTTAGACGAAAGAACCGGCCTAAGTCTTTTACATAGACATACAAAATCGACGAAGAACGAGAAAGATGATCAATTTTATAGTATACGGAAAAGAAAATAAGAAATGAGAACTTTTTTTTTCTTTTTGTGAGTGTATGTTTTGATGTGAGTGTGTAGAGGCTTGGCTTGCTGTTGTCCCTTTCGTGTTGTTGTCATTCTTTTATGCAACAATTAAGAAAATAAAAAAGACAATCGATTGATACACGACATAAAATCATATTAGTAACAAGTAAAAAATTTTCTGTTTTATCTTATTGGTCTCAAGTGTGACATTGATGATTTTCGAAGTGTCCTTGGGGTAAATACTAAAATACTCAAGAGACATCAGAAATAAAAACGTCTTTTTTCTTTTTATTAATTCAATGTTCATTAGATAATAAAAAAGAAAATTTTTATATATTAAATTATTCAACATTGAAATAAAAAATAAAACATTCACTCATCAATAAAAATAAAATACACTCATAATTTTTTGATTGTTATGGACGATTAAACATGAATAAGTCAACATATCAGTATATATTTAATTTAGAAAACTGCATGTCAAATTAGAGAAATAATCGAATTTTTCATTCAATCTATTTATAGAAATTTCTTCTTGAACAATAATCAATTTATTAAATAAATTGAAACATATTTATCATGTGATGAAGTTAGCTTTAAATAGAAAAGAAATTAAAATTTCTTGATCCAATTTCTTTGTATCTATACATTTATAAGCAATAATTACAATCTTAATTGTTGATTAAATCAATACGAAAAACAAAATTGCTCAGATAAATCTCCATTCGGTTCATATATAAGACTTCAATCAATTGACTATTTCCTGTTTCGCACTGTATGCACTGAAGACTAATAGCAGTTTTTTGTTATGTATATATATATATAATAGAAAAAAAAATCGTGCTAATATTGGAAATACTTTTAATCATATCAGTGAAAAATAAAACTTTCAAGCGTTCTCATTAAAATAAATCAGATAATCTTTAAAATATTGTTCAATAATGTGTTCTAGATGAAGAATTTTCAATTATTATAGAAGCTTTTCATTTCATTACTATTTAAAAAAACAGAAAACTATAGACCCGAAGAAACATTAAAAATTTATTTAGAATAAAAAAACAAGACATTATCATCACGTATATCTAAAAATAGAGCTAATGATTTAAATAAGAAGATAATACTCTTCTTTAGTTTTCGTATATTAATGCGTGCGTTGGAGTAATACTATCTAGTGTTGATTTAATCTTAAGATAAAGCTTGTAAGAAAACATTGAGAAAATTTTCTTATAGTTGAAATAGAATCTTGACATGCTATGTGATGAATCATAGTAAAAAACAAAAAACTTTCTTTATTATTAAGTAATAGAAAAAAGCAAAAATTTTTTTTCTTGAATAAATTATGAAGTTTAACAAATAACAGATTATTTTTCTTTTGTTTGTCTTACTTTTTTTTTCTCAAAGAAAATCTTGTCATGTTTCTCGTCTTCTAGCGATAGATTATTTCTAATGAAATTTGATTAAAAACGAGGCAAAAGATATTTTGAATAACATGAAATGTTCTTTGAATTGTAACAAAAACATGTTGACAGTTCAGTAAATATCTTAAAATATGCACTAGCAATTTTTTTTCAACGCATATTGAAAAATATTTCTTTACTTTTGATAATTAGATCATGATAAAATTAAGATTGTCAAAAAGATTTAATATTGATTTGACGTGAATGATTATTTTGCGTATTATTTGTATTATTTAAAAAAACACGATAAAGGTTAACAAAAAAACAAAGTTTCTTTATTCGAATCACTATATTGATAATATTAATTAGTTTTTAATCATTTCAAGTCATCTAATTATCTTGATTTTAATGTTAAGAAGAAACAAACAATTACAGTTTTTAGTTTCAAGAAACTTGATTAATTTTTCAAGTGAAATAATTGATTTCTATTGGTATAAAAAAATGAGATTTTTCTTATTTTTATCAAACTGAAGGTTTAAGTTGAGATGAATAGTAAAGATTGACAACAATCTTGTCATGCATCTTCAAAAATCAGAATCTATCAAGTTGTCACAATATTATCTTTTCTCTCTCTCCTTTTTTCTTTGTTTCTTCCATCTATTTCATCATCAATCAACTAGAGACAATACACTCATATAATCAGATGCAAAAAAGAAACAACAACAACATCAAGTAGTTATAATGTAATAAAAATATTCACTAGTGAAACAACGACAACTGTAATACAGACTCAAATAAGAGTGATTTACGTTGAGAGGCATAGAATCTCACGCTTTTGACGTCGTTTATGATCGTTCTTTTTCTTTTCTTTCTTCTTTCGTGACGACAATGATTGATTTCTATTGATCTCATAAAGAAATCAATATTCTGAGAATTACTATGATAACGTAAGTGCCTTTATAATCAATTTCATTTCCGCATATTAATCTGTATTCTTTCATATACTATATTGAGCTTAATGATCTAAGCCAAAGGGTGATGTAAAATGAAAGTTGATAGTTCAAAAACTTTAATAAAAAATAAATACACATATGTTTCATTTATCTTATTATATTTGTAAAATTGTGTATTTTTTTTTTGTCTATTTTATAAACTTATACAATAAATCTAATTTAAAGTTTTAACATGAATAAATAAAATTGGAACATTTGCATAGTCAGAAAATAATAAAATAAAAATCGTTGCTAACGGCAGAATTTGCAATGATATAAAATCATTATTGGGTAAATCGCTGAGTATCTGACTACTTTCTCGGAAGAGTTGTTTTTTTTTTAAATATTGCTTTTCTTCGTGCTAGTTATGTGGGAAATGGTAAGAACATAACTTTGGTTAAAGAAATATGCTGACATTCACACGATATAGTCAAGATTGACAACATTTTCTCCGAATAACTAATGAGGACCATTCAATTTAATACAGTATTTTGCGCTCACACTTTGCTTGTTAATAGGGCGTATTAGACTACAGTAGTCATCATAGAATTTTTTAATGATTCAAATTAAACTGTAATATATGAGGTTTAAAAGTGAGATTTTTATAAAGTTATAGATATATGAAAAATTTTCATGTTTTGAAACGTTCATATCTCAATCAAAAACTTCAATCAAAAGAAGAGCCCTTTGAACATTGTTTTAATCTAATGGTCTTTCGTTAATGAGCAAAATATAAGTTAAAAATATTATAATAATTTAAATAGTCTTTACAAAATATTTTGAAGAAACGCTCCAATTCTTGATTATTTCACATGACTTTCAACAACTTCTTGTTTTTGCTGAAGTTATTTTCTAATTACTTGTCATTTAATTAGCATAAAAAGAGCGAAAAAAAAAAGTTTTTCCAAGTAAGTAGTCGAATATCTATGGATTTATCTTATTCTCATTAGAAATAATTAAAAACTATCATATTTTGTTTATTTTCTTGTTCAAATTTGTAAACTATTCTTTCGAAATCACATAAACACTTGTGATTATTGCATAACTTTAAAACATTCATCCAAAAAATAAAAATTTTCATAAGATAGTTTTATTATTGTTCTAAACAAGTAAATTTGTTCGTATTTCAATTTAAAAGAATACATTTCATAAGATTTTATTCTTCTTTGTTTTATCTGAATGAATTTAATCTTTATTTTTCTACCAAAAAAATGTGTCATATGTTATTTTCTACGTTTTTCTGATTGAATTTTTTTTGCAAAAAAAATGTTATTCTAATTTTATCAAAGATAAAAATGACATTTGTTATTTTTTATATTCTTTTTTTTTTGCTTCTAGCATTTATTCATAGTAGTCAACCATTTGTTTTCTTTCCGGAACTATATCTTCTATGATTACATGATGTAGATCTTTGACAGAGAAGCTGTTTGAATTTTTATGGATACAATAAGCAATTTATTATCTAGACTATGTCGTTTTTTATGTATCTATCTTCTTAAACAGTATAATTCATGCATACTAAGTTTTTTTCAAATATTCCATGAACTTCTTCTTTCCCCGTTTTTCGATATAAATAGCGTAAATTAACAAAAGAAATAAGAATTTTTTCATGACATTATTTAATTAGAATAGAATTACTTTGATAACATTATACAATTAAAATATCTATTGTATACTCTTTCAACTTATGGCATCTGACAATGTAACCTCCATAAAAAAGTGATTTTCTCTTTTTTTATTATTTGATTTGATAACTTATAGTTACTATAATTTTCTAGCACTACTAGATTGCTTGATGAATTCATTATTGACTTAATAAGAAGTAAATTACGCAGTGGAATCACAACATTTCTTTTCAGTTAAATAGTAATGATAAGTATAAATGAGAGAAATAATATTTTTATGTACGTCAGTTGTAGAAAGAATTTACTCGAGTTATGATATCAATTCATTTCATTTTTTGTTTGTCAAAATAATTTTTAAATACAAAGATTATATCGTTGAAAATTCTCTCAAATAATCTAATAATAAATACAGTGAATAATATTTTTTACTTGATATCATTTCCATTAATTCTATTGAAAACCTATTTCAATATGTTATATCAATGATAATCTATTTTAGTTTACATATTAAAAAAATTCATAATAAGATAAATTTTTTCTATTTGTATCAAATTGATTCTAACTAGTTGATTATAAATGACAAAAAAAAGAAAATGAAAACTAATCTTGATTAGTATTTGATTGTATGACTAAAATTAATTAGTAAAATTGATATTTTTCTTTTACTTGAAGGTCAACAAAAATGCTTTTTATTCTATTATCTAAGCAAATATTAATATAATTATTTGTCATGCAATCTAATATCAGGTATGTGCCTGGTTGAAATATTGTGTTGCATTCAATATGATGAAAAATTCTTATTAAATGACGAATAATAAAATTTTTATCTATTGAATATATAATTGAACAAGGATAGATAATTTTTTAGAGTATTTTATTTAAACGATTCTTTTCATGTTATACTATTGTATTTTTCATATTGTCTTGCTATTAAATCCACACATTTTTTACGCCTTGCTTTTGTTTCCTCTAGAGGAAGGATTTCAAACTATATAAAGCATTTGTGTGAAGTATGATTCCTAATGAATTTTGAAGTTGATGGAAAGAAACATAGAATTGCTTCCCATCAAACTATATCTCATTACAAACAAATCTTTCTATATATATAACAAAAAGACAAACAAAAATCAAGACTACACTTAAGCAAAAGGATTCATAATATATTCTTTACTTCTTATTTCTAGATTATTAACATCAATTGAAAATGATGTCTACTTTTTTTTTGTTATTTCTACATAATAATATCTATTATATAGAATTCATTCTCATTTCTGTAACAATATGAATGCGAAAAAGAAACAACGAAGATTCCGATTATGAAGTCTTTGGAAATTATTTAAACTTTTTTCTAGTGAACATTGCAACTTTATTGCAGCATTGATGTAGTATACGGTCGTTGCTAAACTAAAAGAAACTCTCCGAAGATATTTTTACTGACAAAAAAAAACACCATCAATACATATTTTGTATTAGACACCGATTCTAAATATAAAGTAATTAAAGACAATCTTTATTCGTAGAAACTTGGAATTCATTTAGTTAGATGATCTTTGTTTATTTTTATCTTTCTAGTTAGAACTTATTTCGATTAAAACTGATTAAAATTTCAAAATCTTATTACAATAATCAAAATAATAGATTCGATCGTTCTGCATACCAGAACCAAATTAAAATCAGATTTACTTTTATAGATTATAATCACACGACAAGCAATTGTAATTGTATGGTAAGAATTTGTGAAAAAATCTTATTTTTAATTGATTTTCTATTTTATTTTAATCATTTTAGAATCGGTTTTTATCGGTAAAAATCTGTGTACTCAAACCTATCGCTACTATGATTTACTCTGTAAGATCAAATTGGTCTTAACGGTTCAAAAGTTGGATTAGTTTCATTTATATGAAGGTTAATTAGAGCATACTTTAGGAGAAGCTATCGTAGAATAACAATCTTTTCCTCCGTATAAAAGGTTTAATAAGCCCTTCAAGAATACAAGAAACACCTTATACAATGCATTTATTTTCTTTTTCTTCTAAGATAATTTTAGCATAAATAATTATCAATTTCCGTCAAGTGCGGACATACAAAAGATAGTTTTCTTTCAAGATTAAAAAGAAAAATAATCTTTCAATTAGTTAATTCACATAATTCGATCCTGTTTTATGAAGAGCTTTCTGACTTGTAGAAAAATAGTTTGTTTTAGCTTACAAAAACCGAATAATTAATAATATTTTGTTGAATTTTCAATTGTTATTACTGTAAGACAGCACAGATCAAATGAAAAAATTAAGCAGAATGATATGGCCTTAGATCAATATGTAGTTTTGGTCACAGATGTTCTTACAAACAGTAGTCTCATTGTTAATAGTGTATTCAAGAGTTAAATCAGTTCTTAAAAGTTTGAGCTATGTCTAAAAGTAACAAACACATTTTCAATAATTGCTGAAATTCTACGGCAATATTTTTCGTATCCAGTTTGACAAAATGGATATTTAAATCTATTATTAAGATTAGAATTATCTTCTTTTTTTATTAGCCATATGATTAAAAGCTATACGATTGATGGTAATAGATTAAAATTAAGGTTCTAACAAATTCATAAGATTAAAATGAATTTTGTATTAAAATCGAAGTAGAATATAAAAAAATCTATCATTATAAATTAATAATCTATTAATCAGATTCTTTTTAGTGAATTTTAAGTCGCACATTTATCGAAAAGTTGTTTTCTTGCAAAAAATTCGAAGACATATTCATAATCAACAATAATCTTAATTTTTACTCCAAGTTTTATTTTTACTGTGGTCTTATAAAATCCACATTCTGCTTGTTTTCTAGTAAATAGTTTTTTTTTAATTAAAAAAAAGCAATATGGCTTCCATTCTCGTGGATACTACGTAGATAAGTGTTTATATTTATAGTTTTCATATAATTATAATCAAAATTGATCAGTCATACTGACATACTAAGAACAACAGTTTATCTATTGACTATTCATGTGAAGTTTTTGCTAAATAACTTGATTTTCATTACACCCGACATCAATAACTTCTTATTCTTCTTATTCACACAGTCTTATTTGATGTATCAACTATCTAATCTAATCTCATTATTTATCACTCGAGGGCATGGATACTATAGACTATTTCTATTGAATAAGCTTAAAACTATCTACTCATGTTTCTGATCACCAAAACTACATAATCTTATTTAAAAAAAGAAAAAACTTTAGCAGATGAAGTTCACAAATGCTCACCTACCCAGATATAGTAATGCCTCCTGTACTGCCAAGTGATCGTTTGGCTCGCTTCATTTGTTCATGTGTAAAGAGCACATCTTTTGTACCATATAAATCAAGAGCACGACGTCGACCCATAACCGATACACTTTCATGACGCATTGTACCTGATGACGGCCATTGTATTTGACAATTTGTTGCATTCATATTAGCTTGTGAAAAGCGGCGAGCTGTTGCCGATCGACCACCGGCTAACAATATACTCATTTATTTGGTTATTACTTTTAGTATTTTATTAATACATTGATATACTAAATTAAATTGAATATATCTCATGCACTAAATAAACATCTAAAGAATAGAAAAAAAAACTAACAACTCTATTATAAGTCGTTTGACATATTTATTTAATAACAAAAAAAAGCACGAGATCGTTGTATTCTCTTAATGACATCTGATGTCTTCGTTTTTCTTCTCCTTTGAAACTCATATCTAGACGAGTTTGTTTCGTTTCCGTACTACGGAAATGCTTTGTCCCATTACGTATTCACAAAAGTCGTAGATGCTTAGAAAGCAAATTTTTTTCTCGTATTGAGAAAGACAAGAGTGTGCACAAGAGAAAAAAAGCAAGATAAACGGACAACTAAAAAAAAAGAGATGACACAAGCCTCCGGGCATAATCACAAAGTCTCGGCTAGTTCGAATAGATGACTAAACCTACAAAAAAAAATTGATTCTACTGAAATACATTTAATAACTAAGAATGTAAATACTTCACGCTCTAGAAAAAAAAATATCTTGTCTTGTAAATAATTAAAAACAAGAAGCTTATACTTAATCGCAACTTAGATGCATTTCATCGCCAAAAAATTCTTTCATCTTCTATCTGTTGTGAAGATTATGTGAAATTTAAAATTTACCCTTGAGAATGAAAATGATAGTTATCGAGAACTAAATTACAATTATTTAATTATAGAATAGTAATAGTCAAATTCAATATAGATACACGTTTTCTATTAACAGCTTATAAACAACATGCAGAGTAAGAAAAAAAAAAGACATAAGTCTCTTATAATTTCTCTCACATGCAACTATCTTAGCGACATAATTGAATCGATGAATGATAAATATACATTCTAGTAAAGTAGGAAAATAACTGAGATTAATAGATTTCTCAATGAGTTTACCAGTAGTTCTCAACATGGCAATCATATTCAATGAGATCAAGGTAACAAAAAGTACCCCACCGAGAGATCATTATTATACATTATTCACATAAATAAATATTCAAATAACTGTATGACTAGTATCTTATCGAACTTAATAATTAAGAAATGAACATAGATTGAATATTATACAAAAATGAATTTAAAAAAGAAAATATTATGATAGTCGTCTTGGTTGTCATCTTGTTTCAAAATGGTAAAGAAGAAGAACTGAATGTTAGAAACACAAAGGAAGAGAGAGCGGAGGATTGTGTAAAGGAATAAGCAAAAAAAGCGTCGACACTCACATATACTGATGTAAATGTATATATACACATAAATAGATTTTTATTAGAAAGATGATGCATCAGCCGACAAAAGACACGCATTGTTGTTAGACTTAGTTCATTATTTTCTTTCTACTAATTCATTATCAATGAAGTAGTATAGAAGAATAAAAGCAAATGACAAAAAAAAGAAACACATTCACCGTGAGTTTTTGCACGTTTCTTTTTTTTTTCTTTTATAATGCAAATAACGAATAACAGTACAGATGATAGTTTTACTTAGGATTTCGTTGCAATGAAAAGAAATCAGTGTTCAATTGTCATTCCTTTGCGTTACAAACGTTCATTTTATTCATAATTGCATCATGAAATTGACAACGACAAGTCTTTCTCTGACTGAAGGATGTTTCAGTTTCCGGGAACAAGTTGAAGGAAAGCACAACAAGAAAAAAATAATAAAAAAGAAAAACAATCGACATACAATGATTCTATATAATTTTTATTGTGTTTCAACTAAATTATTGTAAGCATGATCAATAGAGTTCTGACATTTTCGATTGTCTGATAAGAAAAATAAATTTGGAATGCAAGTTGACTATTTTCTGTTTCTGTCTTTTATCTGTATGAAATTCATAAAAAAAATGTCATTGAATAAGTGCAAGTAAAACAAATCTATAATTCTTAGCCATTCATGAATATGAATAAGTTTCCTTCTTTTATTTTATTATTTTTATTTTATTTTTATTGATAATTAATCAATCTAAAGTTTTTCATTAATTTAGTTTTCAATCTTTTTGTTATTCTGAACAAAACTTTAAACGTTCTATAGATGACTCAACTATTTGATTTGTGGAAAACAAAATGAACCATTATCTATTTTTATATTACATGAAACAATCTTGGAATTAATCAAGAATATAAAATAGAAAAAAAAAATATTTCTCTAGAAGAAAGCATATGCGCTTGACTAGCTAATATTTAATGAAAAAGGGAAAGTTAGCATGCTTGAAATATCTTATATAACATCATACTTACTAGGAAAGTGACATTTTGCTACCGGAATGACTATATTAGAGGTAATGCATGCAATCAATAAATGAGAGGATGCAATATGCAAAAAGAAATGATTAAATAGGTTTGTCTTTGCATTCATTCATTTAAGAAATGAAACTCTTTAATTTTATGATTAAAATAAATATTAGAACAATCATCAAATAGCATTAATACACTAGAGAATATGACAATGAGAAGTGACAAAAAGTAAAGCTTTTACAATGATGTTAATGATGAAACATAAGTTTTTACTTTATGAAGTGTTAGAATATTTGATAAACTTAGTTTCATTAGAAACAAGTCAAGTATAAAAATTCAGTTTTTTTTTTTAATTTAAATTTAGTTGCTATAAAATCAAAAATAATACAGTAGTATTGAATTTTATAAGAAAAAAATAAATTTTTTGTTTTATATTCATAGAAATTTCATTTTTGAATGTTTTAAATCAAAACTCTATGTAGTGTGTAGAAATAAAAAGTTCTTTTGTTCAAAGTGAAACGAGTAACAAAAAGAAAAATCATTAATTTCTTTGACATTATACAAAAACATATTGAAAGAAATTCGATTTATTGAATAATAATAGAATTATCATTTGCCTTTAGTAACAAAGAGTCTGTTTGGCCGATCAAATAAAGTTATGATAAAAATAAGCATAGCTTTTGAATACTTAGTCTTCAAAAGCTGATATTTAATATTATTAGTAGATAGAAACAAAAGTAAATTTTGGATAACATTGTAGCTAATGACTATTGACAAAAGTGGCCGATTTAAACTAGGAGATGTTGAAAACGATCGTCTTTCTTTTACAAAATTCTTTTTTTTTCTTTCATTATTTCTCATCAAACGATGCTCAAAAAGGAGCTAATACGATCTATGATAGATTGCCAAACACGTGTCCCAACCACGTGATCAATCTCATTGCAATAATCCTAGATTCATCTGCTATGACAATTATTACAGACGTGTCATTAAAGAGAATTGTTGTAAGTCGTACATATATAATGTTAATTGTATCTACTTCTTTCTTTTTTCTTTTTTCTGTTAATATATTTTTCTCAGTGTTTTCTCTTCGATTTGTTTGTTACTGGTGTTTTTCTTTGTTCTCAATCAAGTATAACCCTTATTCTTATTTTCATTTCTTCCTATACTATTGCATTGATTATGTATTTTTCTAATTGTATTATGTTGTCTGTCGGTGTATTCTCTATTTTTTGATTAATATTAGTTATAAATATTTACTCTTTCATGTGAAGCGAGCTGATTTAACTTCATAAATAAATCAGAAGTAGGACAAGTACAAATACAGCAAGTAAAAGTGTGTTGTAGTTGAAAGAGTGTATTTATACTTTGAAAAAGAGTACTTGGTACTTATATCGAGTGAGTCATGATGGCTGCAACATCTAGTATTTTGTAAATTTCAAGAAGCCGATTACAGACTTGGGCTCGTCGACTCCGAACGCTGTGCGTCAAATTTTATAAAAAATCATAGGTTTCGAAGAATTACTTGTCTTTTGATACACTAAAATTTTTCGTTATCGTTACTTAGTAACAGCAACTTCTCTCTCCTAGTGATAATATCATGAAAAGTTTTGGTTGAAATAAGAAGACGACTATTTGTTAGTATTATTTTCATTTTCAATTCTCTCAGAATAATAGAACATCTCACCATTAGATAGTGCTTCAGTTGTAGTCTTGTAGAAGGCAAAATTATACAATTTATCTGTACTGGGATATTTGCAAAAAACTACATGCTGCAGTCATTATGACTCATCCAATACCAGTACCAAGTATTTTTCTGAAAGTACGAATACTTTCGTTCGAGCTTTGCAATAAATTTCTTATACACAATAACGTATGGCGAGTCTAACACTGGCGTAGTGTTGAAATACCATTCATTAAATATGCCACGCATAAATTTAATATTCTTTTTTTTTTATCTGAATTAAATATAAACTTTCACATTGCTGATTCTAGTGCAATTATATGACAACCAGTTGAAAAAAAAACATGCAAATTGATGGTTTTTCTTCTTGTATTGAGGAGCTATCGAAACTTACTTTTTGGAACTTATTGAATCTTTTTAAAATTCGAGAAAGATTTATGTACATATAAATTAATTTATCATTAGATTAGTTTTCTTTTTCAATGGGTTTATGTTCACTATATAATTGGATTATAGGAATTGCTACACAAACCCCTTAACATCAAATAATTTCTAAGCGGATCATTTTTTTGCGAGCGGGTCTATGTGAAATACATATATTCCTATTGGTATTGCTTTGCACCAAAGTTTCTAACATGAATTGATCTCTCAGTGGATATATTCTAAATATAGGAAGATTGGTTTATGTCAATGAATCGCTGTTTTAATAATTTATAACTAACAACATCAGATTGCTCACTGAATAGAGCGATTTAAAGTCTAAACCCTTATTCGATTCACTATTTGTTTTCTTATTCAGGACTTTCTTCTGATTAATATGCCACAAAAAAGATCTCTTTTATAAATTCTGCCACATAATACTCAATAACTATTTCCTACTGGATCAATTTCGAATATATTATTCTTTCAATAGACTCATTACACAAAACATCCACACTCATATCCTCAAGTTGAAATAAATTTCAAACAGCAATAGATGCTAGCATTTATTTAAAAAAATCATAATAAATCCCCAAAAACAAGCCCTGGAACCTATTGCTTGTATTGTGTACCAAAACC